CCCTATTAGCCCAGAGGGCTAAAAGGAGAGGCTGGGGAAGTGGTTTGGTCATTTAGAGAGAAGGGGAAAAAAAAGAGAATGACTTGGCCCCCTTTATAACTCAAAGGGGGAAGGAAGGAAAGGGTAGGGGTTGCCCTCAAAAAGGGTTTGGGGGTGAGGGGGAAAAGGGGGGAAGGGGTTTTGGGGGGCGGGGGGCTTGGACTTCCGGGCAAGCATGTTAGATAGGTGTGACAGGAGATGAAGGGTTTTTTGGGGACCTGATGAGCTTTGGAGAGTAAAGCAGGGTAATTTTTTTTTTAAAAAAGGGATTCGGGGAAAAAACCAATTACAGATTTGAGTCCTGGAAATAGGAAATTTTCTTGTTTAAAATTTTTAAAAAAGGAGGGGTTTGGGAAAATTTTGGGCATTTGGAGGGACTTTCAAAAACTTTTTGTATCTGATTCCCCTCTCCCAAGAAAGTGATTTTTAAAAGGTGTTTTTGAAAATGTTAATAAATAAAAGGGTTTTTTCTTTTTTTTTTGGGGGGTTTTTCTTTTTTTTTGGGACCACCCTGTTTTGGTGGGAAGGGGAAAACCACTTTTAAAACAAAATTAATGATAAAATTAAATCGAGGAAAAATTCTAAGCACGAGCCAATTCAAATTAATTGCTTGAAAAAAATTCCAGAGAAGAGTAAAAAATGTTAGTTAAGGAACACAAGTAAAACTTTGGTAAAGGGTAATGTAAGCCCCCCATGCTTAAAAATTTCTAAAAAGGGGGGGAAATTTTTGTATTTTAGAGGGTAATCAAAAACCTGTGATGGCGGGCAGACCCAGAAAGAACAGTAACTGAATAAATTTGGTGGTAAATGTTTTTTTTTCTTAACCCAAACCCTGCTTTTCAATGGCCACTGGGTGTGGGGGGGGAGGGGGGGGGGCCAAAAAAAAAAAAGCTATTTCTTAAGAAATCATTTATAACAAGGGTATATAAGATTTTGTTAAAATTTTTAACCCGGGAAGTTAGCCCCCCGGGGAATAACCCAAAAAGTCATTGCGTCACCCGGGGGAAACGTCAAAACTTTTTTCCCCATTGGGGCCCCTCAATTTTGGGTCCCACGGATGAACTCACACCATTTCGACTAACCCCCGGGTCCCAAATTTGCTGCTAGATAAACGGACAACAGGTTAAAAAAACACTTGAAATTTTTCTGCCCCCCCGGGGAATCAAAATCCAGGCCTTCCAGTGTAAAAGAGAGAGTTTTTCCCCCAAAGGCCCCGGGGGCCCCATGGTGGGTTTAAAACCAGTCTATTTTTTCTTACAGAGAAGCGGTAAAACCCCAATTTTCCAGCATCAGGGTTCCCTTGGTTTTGCCAGTACAGTGTTTTATAAATTTTTTGTTGGCCCAAAACAGAGGTCCCTTTCAGGGGCCCGGGCTGGAAACTTAAATTAAATTTTAGTATGAAAAAAAAGGGTTTCATTTTTACTGTCCCCAAAAACCCAAGGGACCCCCACCAAAAACTGCAGTGTAAAAAATTTTAGGGGACTTTCACTACATACCCCAAAACTGGGGTTTGCCAGGTAAACCCTTTTTGACAAAAAAGTGGGTCTCGTAATTTTGTCCAGACTAAAAGAGATGCCGGACAATCGTTCCATAAATTGGTTTTTGTATCTGTAAAAATTATTAAAAGGGCGAGGGGCTTTGGATTTAAAGCAAGTTGCATGAGGGGGTTTTTGTTTGGAGTGAATGGAGGACGAATTTTATTTGGGGAACCTGACATCGGGGATTGTGAGCGGGGTAATAATTATTGAAGGGATTTGGGGAAAATTTTATTTTAAATTTGTGGGACTTGAGCCCTTTGGAAAGGGGAAGTACAATCCCTGCACTTTAAAGGGGGGTTTTGGGTTTTTGGGCAGTTTGGAGGGGATATTTTTTTTAATCTTTATACTTAAGCTTCTAAATTTGTATTTTTGAAAACCTCGCAAAAACATGAAAAATGTGTGAGTGTGGTAAAAAGTTTTAAAAGATGATGAAAGTATTTTCTTTTTGGGGATTTTTTTTCTTTTTTGGGTCACCCTCCTGGGGTTGGGGACGGCCGACTTTTTAAAAAAAACAAAAAAAAAAAATTTCTTTCCCAAACCCCTTTTCATAAAATTTTTTGGGGGTAAAGTGATGTTTATTTTACACTGTGTAAAAGTTTTAAAAAAGCAGTGCCCTTAAATATGCCGGGTTTGTTTTGGGGTTTTTTAAGGGGGATGAGTAAAAATAAAAAAAATTCCTGCCCCATACCATGTATAAGGGTAAAGTTTAAACCTTTGCCCTTTGGGTTTTGGAATCAAAATGAAAATTTTTGGGGTGTTTTCTAGGGTTTTTTTCAGGGTTTTTAAAAAGGATGTTTCCCGATGGAGTTGATAGATTGGATGATTAATAGTAAAGGGGGAGAGATTCCCCCTCATTTTTCAGACTAGAATGGTTTGAAATGGGCCCCTCAAATTTGGCAGAAATAATTGATTTTGGGGGACCGGGACCCATCTGGTCAATTTTAGGGGTTTTTTAATTAGTAGGACACCCTAACCTTTTCTAAAAAATTTTTGGTTTTAAAATTTTTTTAAACCCAAAGAAATAGAAAAAAAACCTTTTTTTTTTTTTGTGTTTATGGATTTAAAATAAAAAAGAAAAGGGTTATTTTAGTGGTTTGGGAACCGAAGTGTTTATTTTGGAATCTTTTTTAAATTGAATTTTTTAAATTTTTGCAAAAAATTTAAAAGCAAAATTTTTATACTTCTGGTAGTTCTGGCGTTCCTTGCCCTCAATTGAAAAAGAGAAAATTGGGATACTAAACGAAATAGCCCCGAAAAATGGGTCAGTTTTTAAAAATTTAAAAATTTGGGCCAAAAAAAGAACCCTTTAAATTTTAAAAGGAAACTGAAGTTGTTTAAAAATGCCCCCCTTGACCCCCTGTGCAATTAGTAAGTCTTTAGGTCAGGGTTTTGTTTTTTTGGGGCTTAAACCCTTTTGGGAAAAAAGATTCTCTACCCTTTTAAAACAAAAAAATAATATTTTTTTTCAAAAAATTTCAACATAATGGGGCTTTTTAAATTTTTTTGGGGGTCACAAAAATAAAAAGTTTTTCATGCACAAATTCACTGTCCCGGGAAAAAGAGCTAAATGTAAGAAGATAATCTGAATATCCCCAACATGAAAAACAGTCAGTGCTAAAAATTTTTAATCATTTTTTATCTGTAAACGCCATTAAAAAAGTAATTTTATAGATACAACAAGTTTTGAACGTAAAGAGATCTCGGCAACCTCAAAAATTATTCTTATTATTATACACCACCATTGACTTAAAGCAGAGTTCGGTTTTCCGGAAAAAACCGGTCCCTAAGTCGGAAAAGGTTTTTAAAATTGAAATTTACTACTGAATATCAACAAAACATTTTTGTAATTTACCCTTTAAATTTTTTTTTTTTTTTTATTTTGGGATTTTCATGTTTTAAATTTTTCTTTTTTGTTGTTAGTACTGTATTTTAAAACTGTTAAAAGGGTTTGGTAAACACGGTACCAAAACCCCAAAAAAGGGTTTTTTAATTTTCCCCGAAATTTGGCATAAAAACAAGGTCGTAAGTCGAGGGGTTCGTAAAATCGGCAGGTCGTAAGTCGGGGTGGTTGGGGTAAATTTAAAAAAATGTTTGGATAATGAGATAAGGGAAAATTTTTTTTACTTTTTCCTGACAAGGGTTGGGAGGTTGGGCCCCAAATTTATCCTTTGGGGAAGAGGTAATCCCAAAAAAGTCAAGCCATTTTTACCTGTTACACTTTTAAGTTGATTTTGGGGAAAAATTTTGTGGCAAACATTAAAAAGGGAAGGAGAAAAATTTGACAAGGGTTGCAGAAAAAATGACAGCTAAAATATGGGGTACATAAAAAAATTACGACAGGGAAAATTGCCTTTAAAAAAAACTAAAACTTTCCTTTTTGGCATCAAACCAATAAAAAAGAAAATCTGATCATAACTACACTCATTTAGATAAAATTAGACCCATGTTTCAACTCCTTGGGTATCTTTAAGGAAAAAGTTTCGCCACACAGTGGCTTCATCAGTCCATACTAGGAGAACTTTAAGAAAAAGGAGGAGAATGGGGGTAATCAGCCCCCCAAACCCCGGGGGTCGATGGGGTTTCAGGGCCAACAATCTTGAGTAGAATGGGGAGATGAGGGGGAGAACCCGCCCTTTTAAACCGTAGAGGAGGAGGTTTTACAGTCATAGGTAGTGGGCACATTTTTCAATGTGGAAATAGGTTGTGGGCACATTTGGGAAAAAAGGGACACTACCCCTTTACGCCCACACCCCTCCTGCCATACGGTTTTTTAAGCTCTTTTTCCCTTTATCTGCCGTAAACCCACCAAGATTGAAGGACTGAACACATCGACCAAGGTTTTAAAGGGGCTGATTACCTCATTCTCCTCCTGTTCTTCAAGTTTCTCCCCTTTTAAGGAAATGATGAACCCTGTTTGGCGAAAAGTTTCCCCCAATAAAGATACCCAAAATTTGCACATGTGCTAATTTATCAACATGTTTGGTTTCCCCCCCCCCCCCCGAACCATTCATCTACAATTTCACTATTAACTTCAATCACAGATATGTACTATACTTTATTATAAAATTTAGTTCCTGAAATTTCCTTTAATCACAAAATTTAAAAAGTGAAAAGTACATAAGGAATATACGTACTTTAATGGAAACAAGGCAAACTTAAAAACAGATAAAAACCCACTCCAGAATGACCTAAGGGGAAAACAAGGAATAAACACTAAAAAGAAAGGGGGCCCGTCTTTTAATTTTCTTTTAAGTGGGTATTAAATTACAGGAGTTATTGGGGGATCCCGACTCGAAGTGTTTGGGGGGTGAAGGATCACCCAGCCAAGAAACCCTGAGGGGGAAAAACCTCCCCCTCAAATTCAAAGAAAATTTAAAAAAAGGGGGGTTTATGTGGGTTTTTAGGGATCTGTTTTCTTTTCACCAGATAGGGGTATTAGATCTCCAAAAGCCATCTCCATGGGCCCCAAAAAAAAATTAAAAAAAGCAAAAAAACTTGGGATCCGTTTTCCCTAGAGGAGCCCAAAATTTGGGAAAGAAATACTTTAAAAATAATAAGATGTGGTTTTTATAACTGACTAAAAATAAAAATAGTTTTCAAATTTTTTAAAATTTAAATAAAAAAAAAAAAAAAATTTGGGTTTCCCTTTAAATTTAAACCCTTAGAGGAAAAAGAATTTTTTTTTAAAAACCCAAAGTTTTAGAAGTCAAGAGCCCAATGAAATGCTTTCCTACCTCACTGTTTTTTGTTTCCCCTATCCCTTTAAACTTTCAAAAATATACACCATAAATTTTAAAATTTCAGATGTATGTATAAATAATAATGATAGTTTAAAAAAAAACCCTACTACTACTACTACTTCTACCCGACTAAAAAATTTATTTTTCTTTCAACAAACCGGCCATATCCCCCCAAAGCGGGGGGGCAAAAAAAAAAAAAACAAAATTTTCTATATTTAACTTTTTGCAATGTACGTATATAGGAGAAAAACTTACTAGCCCCTTTTTTTCCAGGATCTTAAAGCCTCTTACGGGGCACCCCAAGGGTTACGGGGGGAAGAATTCTTTTTCCCCTTCCCCTCGAGATAAGGGGAATAAAAAAGAAAAAAAGAAACCCCAAAAAAATAGAAGAAAACCCAGAGGGGGTTTGTAAAATAAAATTTCCCTTTTCATGCATGTGTATTGGGGGCCTAAGTGTAAAATTGAAGTAAACAAGCAAAAATAAAAATTTTTCTGTTTATGAGGGCAGAAAAAAGAAACCCGCAATCCTACCAACAGTAAAACAAATACAAAGTATAGGGGTTCCCCTTTTACTCTCCCCCGGCATGATGTTAGTACCTTCCCGGGTTTGGTTTTCTGTTCACCAATTTCTACCCAGATAATTATTCTTTCTTTCTTCTTTCAATACACTGGCCATATCCAACTGAAGTGGGGTGGCCCAAAAGGAAAAATTAAAGTTTCTACTTTTAAATTCAGTATAATATATACAGGAGTTACAGCCCCTTGCTCCTGGCATTTTAGCCGCCTCTTACGACACGCATGGTTTACAGAGGAAGAATTCTATTCCACTTCCCCGTGGAGATAAAAGGAAATAAACCAGAACAAAAACTAGCAAGAAAATACAGCGGAACCTTGGTTTTCGTATGTCCTAGTCTGTATGTAAAACTATAGTTATTCTCTATAAAAAGTTTTTTTTTTTTTTTTAATATTTTTGGGTGTTTGGAACAGATTAATTAGATTAACATTATTTCTTATGGGAAATATTAACAAAAAATATATTTTATAGAGAATATCTATAGTTTTACATACAGGCTAGGGCATATGGAAACTGAGGTTCCACTGTAGAAGAAAACACAGAGGGGTGTGTGTATATATATATGCTTGTACATATTTAGTTGTAGCTACAGTTAGAGTAAGAGGTAGATGGGAAAAGAGGAAGGTGGCAACAACAAGTAAGAGGGAGGTGAAAGTGTATAAACTAAGGGAGGAGGAAGTTCGGGTGAGATATAAGCGACTGTTGGCAGAAGGTGGGCTAGTGCAAAGATGAGTAGTGGGGGGGTTGAAGAGGGTTGGAATAGTTTTAAAAATGCAGTATTAGAATGTGGGGCAGAAGTTTGTGGTATAGGAGGGTGGGGGCAGGAGGAAAGAGGAGTGACTGGTAGAATGATGAAGTAAAAGGGTGTGATAAAAGAGAAAAAGGTAGCTTATGAGAGGTTTTCACAAAGCAGAAGTGTTATAAGAAGAGCAGAGTACATGGAGAGTAAAAAAAAGGTGAAGAGAGGGGTGGGGAGAGTGCAAAAGGAGAGCAGATGATAGAGTGGGAGAGGCACTGTCAAGAAATTTTTAATGAAAATAAGAAAATTTTTGGAGTGAGTTAAACAAGTTAAGAAAGCCTAGGGAAAGTATGGATTTGTCAGTTAAAAACAGAGTAGGGAGTTAATAGATGGGAGAGGGAGGTATTAGGTAGATGGCGAGAATATTTTGAGGAACTTTTAAATGTTTAGGGAAGAAAGGGGGGCGGTAATTTCATGCACTGGCCAGGGAGGTATACCATCTTTTAGGAGTGAAGAAGAGCAGAATGTAAGTGTGGTGGAGGTACGTGAGGCATTACGTAGAATAAAAGGGGGTTAAGCAGCTGGAACTGAGGGATCATAAAAGAAATGTTAAAAGCAGGGGGGATATAGTGTTGGAGTGGTTGGTACTTTGTTTAATAAATGTATGAAAGAGGGGAAGGTACCTAGGGATTGGCAGAGAGCATGTATAGTCCCTTTATATAAAGGGAAAGGGGACAAAAGAGATTGTAAAAATTATAGAGGAATAAGTTTACTGAGTATACAGGAAAAGTATACGGTTAGGGTTATAATTGAAAGAATTAGAGGTAAGACAGAATGTAGGATTGCGGATGAGCAGGGAGGCTTCAGAGTGGGTTGGGGATGTGTAAAATCAAGTGTTTACATTGAAGCATATATGTGAAACAGTATTTAGATAAAGGTAGGGAAGTTTTTATTGCATTTATGGATTTAGAAAAGGCATATGATAGAGTGGATAGAGGAGCAATGTGGCAGATGTTGCAAGTATATGGAATAGGTGGTAAGTTACTAAATGCTGTAAGAGTTTTTATGAGGATAGTGAGGCTCAGGTTAGGGTGTGTTTGAAGAGAGGGAGAATATTCTCGGTAAAAGTAGGTCTTAGACAGGATGTGTAATGTCACCATGGTTAATATATTTATAGAAGGGGTTGTTAAAAGAAGTAAATGCTAGGGAGTTCGGGAGAGGGGGGGGGATTAAATTATGGGGAATCAAATTCAAAATGGGAATTGACACAGTTACTTTTTGCTGATGATACTGTGCTTATGGGAGATTCTAAAGAAAAATTGCAAAGGGTTTGTGGATGAGTTTGGGAATGTTTGTAAAGGTAGAAAGTTGAAAGTGAACATAGAAAAGAGTAAGGTGATGAGGGTATCAAATGATTTACATAAAGAAAAATTGGATATCAAATTGGGGAGGAGGAGTACGGAAGAAGTGAATGTTGGGAGTTGACGTGTCGGCGGATGGATTTATGAAGGATGAGGTTAATCATAGAATTGATGAGGGAAAAAAGGTGAGTGGTGCATTGAGGTATATGTGGAGTCAAAAAACGTTATCTATGGAGGAAAAGAAGGGAATGTATGAAAGTATAGTAGTACCAACACTCTTATATGGATGTGAAGCTTGGGTGGTAAATGCAGCAGCGAGGAGACGGTTGGAGGCAGTGGAGATGTCCTGTCTAAGGGCAATGTGTGGTGTAAATATTATGCAGAAAATTTGGAGTGTGGAAATTAGGAGAAGGTGTGGAGTTAATATAAAAGGCATTAGTCAGAGGGCAGAAGAGGGGTTGTTGAGGTGGTTTGGTCATTTAGAGAGAATGGATCAAAGTAGAATGACATGGAAAGCATATAAATCTATAGGGGAAGGAAGGAGGGGTAGGGGTTGTCCTCGAAAGGGTTGGTGAGAGGGGGTAAAGGAGGTTTTGTGGGAGAGGGGCTTGGACTTCCAGCAAGCGTGCGTGAGCATGTTAGATAGGAGTGAATGGAGACGAATGATACTTGGGACCTGACGATCTGTTGGAGTGTGAGCAGGGTAATATTTAGTGACGGGATTCAGGGAAACCGGTTATTTTCATATAGTCGGACTTGAGTCCTGGAAATGGGAAGTACAATGCCTGCACTTTAAAGGAGGGGTTTGGGATATTGGCAGTTTGGAGGGATATGTTGTGTATCTTTATATGTGTATGCTTCTAAACTGTGTATTCTGAGCACCTCTGCAAAAACAGTGATAATGTGTGAGTGTGGTGAAAGTGTTGAATGATGATGAAAGTATTTTCTTTTTGGGGATTTTCTTTCTTTTTTGGGTCACCCTGCCTCAGTGGGAGACGGCCGACTTGTTGAAAAAAAAAAAAAACATGCAAGTGTAGTGTGACCTAAGTGTAAGTAGAAATAGCAAGACCTACCTGAAATCCTGCATGTTTATGAGACAGAAAAAAGACACCAGCAATCCTATCATCATGTAAAACAATTACAGGCTTCTGTTTTACACTCACTTGGCAGGACAGTAGTACCTCCCTGGGTGGTTGTTGTCTACCAACCTACTACTAACTAAGATTATTATTATTATTACGTATTATTATTATTATTATTATTATTTCACTCATAAGAAAGCACTGAACCTGTATGCATTATATGTTGCCTTTAAACCCTGTACTGTACAAACAAATACAACTGAGACTTTTAATGGAAAGTAAAAATCTTGATATTATATATTGTAAAGCATTAAGAAATCAGTTAACATGCAAAATACTAATGCAACACTTTTTTTTTTTAACAAGTCGGCCATCTCCCATCGAGGCAGGATGACCAAAAAGAAAGAAAATCCCCAATAAGAAAATACTTTCATCATCATTCAACACTTTCACCTCACTCGTACATAATCACTGTTTTTGCAGAGGTGCTCAGAATAAAACAGTTTAGAAGCATATATGTATAAAGATATACAACATACTCCTCCAAACTGCCAATATCCCAAACCCCTCCTTTAAAGTGCAGGCATTGTACTTCCCATTTCCAGGACTCAAGTCCGGCTATATAAAAATAACCGGTTTCCCTGAATCCCCTCACTAAATATTACCCTGCTCACACTCCAACAGCTCGTCAGGTCCCAAATACCATTTGCCTCCATTCACTCCTAACACGCTCACCCATGCTTCCTGGAAGTCCAAGCCCCTCGCCCACAAAACCTCCTTTACCTCCTCCCTCCAACCTTTTCGAGGATGACCCCTACCCTGCCTTCCTTTCCCTACAGATTTATACGCTCTCCATGTCATTCTACTTTGATCCTTTCTCTCTAAATGACCAAATCACCTCAACAACCCCTCTTCAGCCCTCTGACTAATACTTTTATTAACTCCACACCTTCTGCCAATCTCCACA